GGGAGTGAGCCAACAGGTCTCTCTCCTTTTCATTCTGTGTGTGTGTGTGTGTGTGTGTGTGTGTGTGTGTGTGTGTGTGTGTGTGTTACTTTGCTTTACAGAACAAAAATAAAAACAAAAAGTTCCTGCCTTTGTTGAACTTGGATTCTATTGGGGGAATATGAAGAGGCTGAAAAATGTTTTCCCCTAATAATTTAAATAAGACTTCCGATTAACATCGTGAATCTTCCAAAATAAAAAAATATTAAAACTCAGGTAAAAATATCTGTAGCTAATGCATAATTTTGACATAAACTCAGTATTTTTCCTAATCGTGGCCTAAGTTTCATGTTATTATTGTACAATCAAATTGTTAGATACAAATGGGATTACATATTCCTATTAGTTCTTTAAGTTTTTTTCCTTAAACAATAAGTTAATCTTTTTAAAAAACTATTAATCTTAGGTGTAGCTTTGTGAAATAAGACTATATTTAAAACTGTTCTAGTCAAGTAGATTTTTAGCTTCCTCTCTTTTTTGAAGTTTTTTTGGTTAAATTTTTATTTTGAATTTTTGAATTTTATGGTACAGTGCAGCTTTTCAGTTGTACAATAAACTGCATAAATTTGAAGTCTGTAATTCAGGGAGTTTCAATATTTCACATATATCTATGAATCTGTCACCAAAATCAAGGCAGTGAACATGAGTATTATGCCTTTATGTTGGAAAATATTAGTTTGCATTTGTTTTAGTGTGCAGTGTTTGATCAGGAAGTGTTTTGGTGACTTGGAAGTAAATGTTGGGGACCAGCATTGTGGCATAGCAGGTTAAGCCTCTGCCTTCAGTGGAAGAGTCCAGCGGGTGGATGATTCTCGTCTGTCTCTCTCCTGCCTTTCTCTAACTCTGCTTTTCAAATAAACAACAAAACAAAAACAAGTATCAGGATTTCTGATTTCAGTTAGTAGCAGAATGAATTATTTGGGGTGAATTTTCTCAAAGATGAATAATGATAGTATTCGGAGGAGCTATGTAAAGGTAGTGGAAACTGGTAAAAAGCAGGGAAACACTGCATTTGGCCCTCACTAGACTACAGCTACGACCGAGTTCTTAGTGAATTTGTCGGTGAAAGTTCCTTAAACTCTGGTCTCATGTGGCAGAAACTCCACAGGCTTGGCAGTTGGTGACAGAAAACATAGTTCAGGGCTGTCAAAGTAGCTCGAAACTTAAGGGGAAAAATTCTAGAAATGAAGGGGCAAGGCTTCAATCTGAGGATGAGATTTGCTCAAACCTCTTGGTAAGCACTAAAACACCTATGCATGGGATACTTAGTCCAGCCTAAATGCTTTTAAAATGCAGGCAGAATGTAATGTGAGCTGGGCCAAAATCTAAAATACCAATATACTAATACACTGGTTAAGTTTGTATCTTACTTTTTTTTGCTGAATGCCTTCAGTGACCTAAGCATAGCTGTGCTGGCAGAAAGTTCATGTTTTCCTGGCTTAAATAATCAAATAGCAAAGCTTATGGGTGACGAAGCAAGTGAAAATTCCTAGGGGTATCCTGGAGGTGGAGGATTGCAGAGCCAGCGAGGCCCCAGATGAGCAGGTGAACGCAGCCAGGGCCTTGACCGTTGAACTGCACAGATGCAGAAGAGATCTCCAAGCAGCTAGGCTCAATAGAGAACCCAGCAGAGATGAGCTGCTCCACACTGTGAGAGAGGAGAGGCAAGAATCAGCAGTTGGAGTCTAGGCAATCAGCTGCCCATTGGGAAGACCCACTAGCTGCAGAATAAGGTAACAGTATCCAGAGTCATTATTATTATCTGTGTTGTACAGCTTTTAGCCCAAAATTACTAGATATGAAAATAAATGAAAAAAAAATACTGATCCATCTTCAAGAAAAGTATAATTCGTGTTTAGTGAATGGAAAGTGAATCCATGTGGGTTCAGGTGTGCGACATAAGTCTTTCAAAGAAATTAGTATAAATATATTCAAAAGGAGTAAAGGAAAATGTGTTAGAAAAATCAATTGTACAACTAGCCGGTGCATGTGAAAAATTGGCCCCTTTTCTGATACTATAAGACAAATATAATTTAAATTTAAATAAATTTGGGTTGGGGCCAGTGTGATGGTTTAATTGGCTAATCCTCTGCTATATGGGGACTGGTTCATGTTCTGGCTGCTCCACTTCCCATCCAGCTCCCTGCCTGTGGCCTGGGAAGCAGCAGAGAATGGCCCAAAGTCTTGGGACCCCATACCTGCATGGGAAACCCAGAAGAAGCTCCCATCTCATGGCTCTGATTGGCTCAACTCTGACCATTGAGGCCTTTTGTAAAGTGAGCCAGGGGAGGGAAGAGCTTTCTTTTTGTCTCTCTTCTCTATAAATCTGCTTTTCCAATAAAAAGAAATAAATCTTTAAAACAATAAATTTGGGTTACACAATTTTTTTTTTTTCATTTGAAAGGCAGATTTTGCAGAGAGAATGAGAGCTATAGAAAGGTTCCCCATCTGCTGGCTCACTGCCCAAATGACCTCAAATCCAGAGCTGAATATATCCTTTTGCTTTATATCTTACATCATATATGATTTTAGGTTGTTATTTATTATTTTATCTGAGACCAAAATAATTGCAGATTCATAAACTTACAGATTTGAAGGGATGAAGAGTATGCTCTCCTTCGTTTTGTAGAACAGGAATTGGGCGAGGTCCTATCAGTCTGGGTTTGGTGAGAAGGAACAGAACCCTGGTGTGTGTTGTGACAGTGAGAATGTAACGGAGGACGCTGGGCTTATGAAGACACAGGGGAGGTTGGAGAAGAGCTCTGTGGTGGGAGAATCAGGAAATAACCCGTGACCCCAGAGCAGGAGGAGCCACCCGGGCTCTGCACCATCCGGAAATGACGTGCCTTCCAAATCTTAGCACATTTCACTCACTGGCAGATTGTGGCCCAAAGCTGCAGGGAAGAGGATTTTGAGAAACCTAGTTCCAGAATTTCGAAAGTACTACCAGTGATGGTACCAGGTGAATTTGTGCAGTTATGTTTGGGTAGTTTCACTTTTATTTATTTTTTTCTACACTATAATGTATGAATATCTAAATTGGCCATTAAGCAGCCCTGCAGTCTGATGTCTTATATTTTTTCATGGAATCATTTTAGATTACTCCCTTTTTCTGTATATACTGTTATTAAGGGTTATTTTTTTTTTATTTGAAAGATAGTTACGGAGAAAGGAGGAGAGATGGAGAGAGATTCCATCCGCTCGTTCATCCTAGTGATCTCAATGACCAGAGTTGGACCAGGCTGAAATCACGAGTCTGCAACTCTATCCAGGTCTCTCATGGAGGTGGCACAAGTACCTGGGTGGTTTCCTGCTACTTTCCCAGGCTCATTAGCAGGTAGCTGGATGAGAGGCAGTGAGGCCAGGTCTCCAGCCAGTGCTGCAGTGTGGTATGCCGGCATTGCAGGCTGTGGCTTAACATGCTGTGCTACACTGCTAGGCACAACAGCATTGCTCATAGCTACTGACTCACTTGAGGAAAGGCCTAGATTGTCAGAGCTGCAAACTGGAATTTCTAAAATAATTTAGATTCCAAGGCTTGGAGAGAAAATACAGAAATAAAGACTGCATTAAGAACTGCTCAGAGGCACTAAGAAAGTTCAATATTTGCCTTTTCTGAATACTTTTGAGACTGAAATCCAGAGTGGTGTTAGAGAACAGTCTGTTTTCTCCCCTGACAGAGGAAGGGTTGACAGAGCACTTACGTTGATGGGTTGAACTCTATGAGGGTTTTTTAGTTTGCGCATGGTTAAAATTACTGGTAATGAACAACTACTATGTATCTTTTTACCTGTTCACCTAGAATTTTCTTTTTGTATATATTTGAAACTCTTCCATGACTGACTGTAGGAATATTTGAAACCAAGTCAGTATTTTTTTTAACCTGTTATTGTTTATTGCTTCCCAAGTGAGTGTATTAGAAAAGCTTGGCAGATTTGCATATATATGTTCTGAATCCTGAGGTGTTGAGAAATATGATGTAGCATAGAGAAGAATTGAATATGTGAATAGTAATGTCATTTTGGAGGGTATTCTTCCATTTAGCAGAGGGACATTTGAATTTTGATGTTGAAATACATAATCAAATCTGTAAAATGAATATATTTTATTGATAAGTTTTAGTGATGATTCAAGAAAAAATTATGAGATTTGCTTGTATATTATTTTTAAAATAATAATTGTTCAAATTATGTTACTACTGCATGTGAGATTAAGTTTTAGAAGCTTAGAATGATATGGTTGTTTTTATTGCGACTCAATACACAAAATTTGGCATGTTAGGATGATACCTGATAATGTTAGTTATAAAGCAACATTAGTGAGTAGTTGATAATACTAACTGGTATCTTAATTCTTACATGATCCATCCCTTCCTATCCAGCTCCCTGCTTGTCTGCTTGTGGCCTGGGAAAGTAATAGAGGATGGCCTAAAGCCTTGGGACCCTGCACCCATGTGGGAGATCTGAAGGAGACTCCTGGCTTCAGCCTGGCTCAGCTCTGGCCATTGTTGCTTGGGGAGTAACCGTGGATGGCTGATCTTTCTTTTTGTATCTCCTTTTCTGCATAAATCTGATCGCATTTCCAATAAAGATAAATAAATCTTTTATTTTTAAAGATAACTAAAAAAATATTTTTCTAAGTTCTCAGGCAAGCCAAATGTTTGTTGTGTGACTATTAGTGCAGTCTGTGCTCTGCTGTGTGAAGACCCAGTGGGAAGGCAGCTGGCTGAAAGCCAGGGAGAGGTTCCTTAGTAGAACCTAGGCTCCATCTGAACTTAGTCTTGAATGCTTCAGCCTCTAAAACCATGAGAACATAAATTTGTTTTTTAAGCTACACACAAAGTACAATGTGAGGCCATCAGATTTATGAAAAGAATAACTTGACCTTTAAGACCTAATATGCTGTTTAAACGGGGCAGACAGCATTTATTCAGTAATATATGAAAATATCCACCCTAACAGGTAAATATTGGGAAGATGGATTCACCCATTGAAAAGTGGAATCTAATAATTGGCAACTTGGCTTTAAAGCAGGTAAGTGGTTTATATATGCATTTACAGATCCTGAGCTTAGGAATCTGGCTGTTGCCTGTAAGAATGATAGAAGTTGAATACAATGAAGTTTGCCATTATTTCAGTATCTTGAAAAAATGATGAAATAATAACTATGACCTCCTAAAGTTATTCTTTCTCAAGAAATTGAGTTTATCTAAATGTGAAAAATAGAAAACATATAGAAAAATCAAATGTTTTCTATCATAAATTACAATAGAGGCAGAATTTGCATTAGTGTCTAAATGTTTGACTCTTTGGGTGTTGGTTTTCCTCCTTTGAATTTTTGTAAATACACTTTTTGCTTAGTAACATTCAACCTCTTCCTCTATATTATGATTGGCCATTTGAAATTTTCTTAATTTTTTAATGTTGTTAGTCATAATGTAAGGAAATACATTCAATTACCAATTTTGTATGCAGCAAACCCATGGATTATGTATAATCTGTTTTTTTTTCTAATCTGAAGTCAATATCTGTCTTCATTTTTACCTACTCTTAATATCTTTAAGACAGACAACTGCAGTTATCCTAGTCTTTTCTAGTAATATGAGATTGAAGAATACACACTAATCTTAATGTTGGTCAGGATGGAAGCCAGAGATGACTGTAGCATTGCTTTGCCTTATTCCATCAAGGATGTTTGAAGAACAGGGAACCACAGCAGGCCCATCAGGACACAGCTATGCCAGCTAGTGAGGCAGCGTTGGTTAGAGCCCAGGTATCAGTTACCAATTACCAGTTGACAAAAGCAAGAGGGAAAGAAGGTGGCAAGGCATGACCAGGGTGGAGGGGAGAGCGTATTCTTTCCGAGTCTTCCCCTGCTGAAACTTGTGAGGTGGTAGAAGACTGTGGAAGGGGGAAAGGATTGGGCTGGCATAAGGCTTTTTCTGCCTGGAGACTGGCTGTGAGGTTGGAGGTAGGAGCGCACCAAGGACAGATCACACGCTCTCACTTGTTGGAGGGTGTGCTCTTCCATCTGTTATATGGGGTCCCGAGCTGGTGACCTGTCACGGATTCCTGCACGATTTTACAGAATAGCTGCTGGGGCCAGTGCATCATTTTTCAAGTAAAGCAAAGTGCCCAGTTCCATTTGAGGAACTGTGCTTCACCACGAGGGATAGCTCCTGCACCAGTGTCCCCTAGCAGCTCCCCAGCTACCGTGTGAAGCCAGATTTTGCTTTTTCTTGGGTACAGTTAGTTAGTGTTCAAGCAGTCATTCCCTTCCAGCTGAGATCTTCATCGCAGCTCTGGGCTTCTGTTGCCTTAGAAGCATAAACACTGGCATGTCTGCAACATGTCCCCAGCCCTGTGTGCCAGTGTCCAACTAGAAAAGACTTGGAATCATGATGTTAGAATTTACATTATTAAATAATTTTATTGCTGTAAAGTGTTAACTTTATGTTATTTTACAAGCCAATATGAAAATTCTGTACTACTTTAACAACCACTCCAGTTACACTGGTGGTTAAGTCTCAAATCTGTGTGTGACATCGACAAGAACTGTAATGTGTAGTTAAGAAATATGATTTAGCATAGGAAACAACTGCATGTGAGAATCCAGGTGATCTGGACTCTGTGGTTTGGTCTCTTGCTTTGCTATACCACATGGCAGGTCAGACTTCCTCAGGAGTTTTTCACTTGCAGCCCCTCGAATCTAGTTTGTGGGTTGGCTTCTGTGAGTCTGATTCTCCAGAAATTCTACTCAACCATTGAGTGCTTCTGCTTCTCTGGAGAACTAAATCTGTAGTTTTCACCAGGTTGATGAAGAGGTCCTCGTGGCAAACGGTTGAGTCAGCAGAACAGACTGTTCCCTCATGGATTCTGGTAGTGCTGACATTCTGTTAATCTGCTTCCAAGAGGTCACAGTCTGTTTCTGTTTTTTTGAGTGTTGCAGTGGGAAATGCTTGATATGTTTATTTAAGAATTTAAATCTCAAAGTTTGTTAATGCCACTGTCATCTTACACATAACACTGATCATAGTAATAATTGCTTGTGAGGTTATTTTTAAATATTTGTCTTTCCTGGTGACCAAGAACTTTGTGAGAGTTAACTAAGTCTGTTCCGAGTGCTGTTGTAGCCCAACACAACGCCTAGCGTGTTTTCTGTTAGAGTTAACATAAGCACTGGTTGAACGAATAGATTTAAGTAACTTTCCACGAGATTAAGTGGTAGAACTTGTGATTTGACTATAAAACCCAATCTCCTGTTCTATACATGTCTTTAGGTCAAATTTCAGACGTGTGGGTTGGGCACTTTTCAGGCTGAAGGTGGTGTTTTCTTAGGTGTGAATTACACCATCGAAATCACACAGGCTGCTTATTAAAAACAGACGCCTGGACTGCATCCTGTGCCTCTTGCCACCAGATCAAGGTAGTTTGAGGACCAACTGTCTTAGGAAATATTAAAACTAAAACATAGCAACTTCTTTCAAAGATATTGCAGCTCAGTTACCATGGCATTATATCTTCTGAGTTCTTGTACGTAATATTTATATAATCAAAAACCTTCCAAATATGTTTTTAAATTAATAATTCATTTGGATTTTATACCAAAAATTTAGGTGCAGGCCACCGTCGTTGGCTTTCTAGCAGCTGTGGCGGCAATTATACTGGGCTGGATTCCAGAGGGCAAGTATTACCTGGATCATTCCATCCTTCTGTGCTCCAGCAGTGTGGCAACTGCCTTCATCGCGTCTCTGCTACAGGGTGAGCTCGTTGGTTAATTTCTGCAGTCTTGTACTTCTAAGGGATTTGTCAGGATGATGACTTAAAAGAAAACTTGTTCATTATGAAAAGAATAGAAAACACCTACAAACATTAAGTGTAACTTAGTAATTTCAGATATTTCTAATACTCACAAACCTGAGTATAACAGGCTTTCTGATGAGTTCTGCTTGTCTGAGACTCACTCGTGTAGTTGCCAAATAAGATGTGGAAAGTAGTTTAGAGTTCATTTCTGTGAGTTAATTTAATGGAAAACTTCTTTTTGGAAATTACATGGGGAAATTCCTGATGTGTCACTTAACTATGAGTGTTCCAGGAATTCTGAGTTTCAAAAGCAGTGTCTCAGTTACATGCTAAGCTCAGATTTTGAAAATTTCTTTACTTTTCGTTGGCAAAACAAGTATTGTCGCTTTTTTTAATACTCTAAAAGAATTTTTTTGGCGATGTCTATCTATGCTGTTGATCAGGGTAGGAAGAATCGAGGTTTAGGGAAAAGTGGGTGTCTTCATTGTTTCCAAATCTTCTATTTTTTTTTCCTGTATCTGGGGGAAAAGGGGAGATAAGGGAAGAAGCCACATCTAGCCTCCCAACTGCCCCAGTTCCCAGGTATGGGAAACGGCCACCTGATATCAACACTGGGTCCCAAACGTAGCGCATCAGAGTGTGCTGCCCAAATGGTTTCAGTAGTTCTGAAATGATTTTGATCTCACCGATCCAAGGATGAGGAAGCTCTTGCAGTGTCCATTGGCTGACACAGTCGACCTTAGAGTCTCCATTCACCCAGATTTTTCTGTCATCTTTGGCTGGGGCACTTGTCCAATTTGTTCTGTTCTCCTTCCTCTGCTGTGATACTAAATGTTCTCTGTAGGCTCCTTCATGTACATCAGGGCCGGTTGTCCACTGATCTTTCCTTTCCACTGAGGACAAGTTTTCTCAGGTGGGCCCAAGGACTCAGGCTAGGAAGCCTGGGCCCCACCGGATCCCCTGTCCCCAGGGCTCATGCATCTGGCATCCTCTGCTCAGGCACAAATGACTGCAACAGCCAGAAATGGGCCAGGAGCTTCTTCCAGGTCTCTCTCTCTCAGATCTTCCATTCTCTGCTGTGCTCCTAAGCATAGTGGCTGGGAGCAGATAGAAAATAGAGCAACCTGGTCTTAAACCAGTACCTATATGTGGTTGGTGAGAGGCTTAGCTTGCTAAGCCACAATGCTGCCCTGCCCCCTTTAATTTTCTAATTGCTGTCTTTCACTCTTATATCACCAGCAAGGTTAAAAATGGCAAATTTTCATATCAGGTGATCATACAATGGATGGAACTTTTTTTTTAACCTAGGTTCTGGGAATTCAAAGAGATTTAATAAAATTAAGACTTGATTCCCAAAATATTTCCAAGCATTCATTTAAATACTTAAATATTATGAGGGATAGTTTTTTTTGTCTTTATATAAAATTACTAGAATTGAGTGGAATGACATTGCGTAAAATTAATATATTGGAAGATTGTATTTCTGGTTTAATTTTCTGTCCTTCCTTCCCTCACCTCTGCCCCAGTTGGGTCCTTTGGTATTTGTGTCCAGATTTTGTTTGACTTAGAAAATGTTATTTAATGTTTTGCATTTTAAGAACTATTTGAAATGGCTTGGATTTTTAAAACTCAGCAATTCAAAAAGCTTAGATTTAAAAACATTTATTCATTGCTTCTTGTTTTGGATAAAGTGTGTTCTAGTTTTATGAAAACTTGACATTACCATGCAAAGCAGATACTGTCAACCACATTTTGTAGATGAAAACAATACCTTAGATACTTAAAGTAACTTGTCCAGTTTCAACATTTTATCAACCATAGAATCAGAATTAAAACCCAGGTTTTGTGACTCCTCACGCTTTCTATTGCACCATAAAGTATGCAAAACATTAAAAAATATTTATTTATTTGAAAGACAAAATTACAAAGAGAGAGAAGAAAATTCTATAAAAGACTTCAACATCCAAGGCTAGGCTAGACCAAAGTCAGGAACTTGAAACTCCGCCTGGGTCTCAAACATGAGTTAATGGTCAAAGGACCTGGAATGAGACTTGCTGCCTTCCCAGGTGCATTAGTGCTGAACTGGATGGGAAGATACCCTGTTTTTTTTTTTTTCTGTTGAAAACACAGTGATGGCACTGTGTCATGAGAAAATTTCCCATGTGGATATTTAAAAGTTTTGATTTTTGGGAAAAGAATTCAATAAATCACAACCTGTTTGATTGCTGAATCATAAATTCTTAAAATTTTTCTGCTATTGCTTTTTTTCCTTTTTACATATTTAGTATGCAAAAGTACAATGGTGGAAAAGTTCTGCAGAATATTAGATACATGGCATAATTTAATGCAAAACAGAAATTCTGTTTTTTGAATTTTGGCTTCATGGGGGAAATGAGAATACTGGTTAGGGTCATATAAGCTTTGAATGTGGCAAACATTTAAACCCGACATCCTATGACCTTGCTTTTTATTATCCATAAAACAAGCATACAAGGATAAAAGTCATTTTTGCTCCAAAAAATCAGTGATATTCCATTTAAATTTTCTGTAGCCATATTTAAACTTCGCAAATAATTAAACATTTTGTTTTTCTGTACTGACCCTTTTAGGGTGTTTGCATAGCATAATCTATTGAATTGCATTGCTAATACAAATGCTATTTATAAGATTCAAGAAAATAAGTTGTTCAGCTACACAGTTACATTTTATTTCTACTTTTTGTCATTTTATAAATAGAAGCTTGTGTTAAAAGAATATCTTTAACAGACTGTTTCTTGTGTACTAGCCTCTAGTGTTCAAAATTTAATTACATCCTGCTTCTAAACATCTCAACACTTTTGAATAGTAAAACAAGGCAAGCTTTTCAATCTACCATATGTGAACAAATCTGTTTTTGTTGGTGTTCTTCCCAGTCGCTATGCATACAAATATGACTCACCTTTATTTGACATTTTCATTCTTCATTGAAGGCTTAAAGTTGAAATCTTTGGGCTTCACACACATAAATTTGATTATATTTGATTCATTTGATTACACACATAAATTTGAGACATCTATGCTACAGACAATTGTAATTTTAGCTGTAACAAATTTTTTGGGTAGTTTTCAGATCTATTATAAAAACAACATTAAAGTTCTCAGATGTCTTATGAGTACCACTGTAGTTTGAAAGGCATTTTGGCCAGGCATGGGTGAAATGTTGTGTTTGTTTTTGTCAACTTACCAAAACATTGTAGCTAGAACTGATATGCTGTTTGTCCTGTGTATTTAAGGAATTTTCTGTCCTTTAGTATTTAGGGAGTTGCTTCTTTAAATAACAGCACAAAAAGTAACATACATTCTTTTTTTCTAGGAATAATAATGGTTGGGGTCATTGTTGGTTCTAAGAAGACTGGCATCAATCCCGATAATGTTGCCACACCTATTGCTGCTAGCTTTGGTGACCTGATAACTCTGGCCATTTTAGCTTGGATAAGTCAGGGTTTGTACTCCTGTCTCGGTAAGTTGGCTTGAAACCAATTATAGTGTTTTACTGAGAGTATCTTTAAATATATATCGTTGTAGCAATGCTAAAAATCATGGTGACGTTCATCTGTATTAACACTGCTCCTAAGGCTGATGAGGAGAGTAACTTGTTATACACATACTCTGTTGTGGTTCTTACATGTTTCTCTTCTTACAGATTTTAAAACCATAAAATCTTTAATTCTAGTTGTTTGCTCTCCAAGATTACATAACTCATTTTAAAGAGTGGAACATAGATCAGTCATGTTCTAGGACTTCTGCCCTTGGTTCTAAGCATACAGCTAGCTCCTGTTGCATTGAACTACTGTCCCAAGACGCAGAGTCAGAGTGGTGCTTGATGTTTACCAGTATGATGATTGCCTGTATCAGAAATCCGTACCAACAGTTCTCCCCCGGCACTTAACAGAGAAGGAGGAAAAAAGAAGGTCACCAGGAAATTTCATCTAAACACTTTACGAACTATAAATATATTCCTAATTAATAAGACAGAGTAAAAAGAAAATTAAAAAAATCAGACAATGATAGATGAAGATGATTTGTGAGCATGTGTTAAGTAGTAAATATTGGTTGTGGCTTTTTGTTAAGGTGTCAGTTCAAGAAATGGAAAGAAAGCAAAGTGACATTATTATAAGAAAAAAAGTTTATAAGGCAAGCCAGAAGCAAACATTTATTCACACATTCTCGTATTTTTGCTTCTTCAAACTAATTGTACTCCTGTTTTATTTTAAAATACAAGTTCTTGAACAGAGGAAAGGATTCTAACTTACCAACAGTAATAATTTTCTATGATTTTTGGAGATGTGAAAGGGTGCTGCATTTAACTGATAAAATTAAAAACAATATTCAGCTAAGCTTAATGCGTATATTCAAGAAAGACTTTTCTCCTTTAAAAGACACCGTTGCATCCACTTGAAGTATTAAGAATGACAGTAAATGATCAATGGCCTACATGTGTGCTCTCGTTTACATCTGTTAGCTTTGCTGTGCAGTACGTGAGGAAGAATATATGTTCAAGTGTACTCAGGGTAACGTTGAAGTCTTTTCTCTTCCACCCAAAAGATGCACAGAAAATGTGATGATATTAAAGGGATGATATTATAGGGATGGTGGCAATCTAATTTATATTGTTGGGGTTACAAATCGGTCATACTTTTTTCTGAATTATAATGAATTAGATGCTGAAGTTGAGGGTTGAAACGCTAGTATCTCCTGTAAGAGAATGTGGCTTGATATTCTCCTCTTACTCTATGAAGATACTAAACTCACACACTCATAGAAAGGCAGCTGGCCACGTTGTCCCCAGAGGAATGACCTGAGTAAGAGAAAGGAGTCTGGTATCAGTAGGATTTTAGGATACTCAGAGAACGCTTACTTGAAGGGCCTGAGATAGGCATGTTTGTGCACCTACTGTAGACATGCCAGTTTGATAAATGTTTCCTACTTCACGAGGGAGGTAAGAGAGAACAGAGGAGTGGAAGAGGATGTACCGTTCCTTCTCAACACAAGAAAGACAGCAATCCCGTAGGACTGTCCAGCAGCATTGAGAGTGGGGTGGGAATAGGGGATTGGCAGTAGCTGTGGGATGAGTTCCCTAAGTGCCACACCTGAAAAATAAAAGTAGTGTTAACAGATTTTTATTACTTCTAAGTAATTACTAATCAGTAACATATTACTATTAAGTAGTTTATAATTTATTTTTCAGCTGGCTGCTAAGTATCAGGTGTCTCCTCTCTTGAAGACACCATGGTAGCAAAGATTCTTTGCTTGACCAAAATTTGGCTGCTGAACCTTCTCCTAGGCTCCTCTGTGCCCTTTCTTGTAAAATTCAGTTTTAATAAAACAGCTCTTCTGAGTGAGTTCAGCAGGAACAGCATTCTTGACCCCATACCCACCCGACTGTCTTTGATATTTAATCAGCTAACTTCTTAAATTCATTTTTTTCAATGATATAATTGATCAACTCTCCATATAAGAGATTTAACCATAATGCATTGCCATCTAAAGATGTATTTTTACTGTGATGTGGTGAATAATTTAACTGGATCAAGAAATGAAAAAAGCTGGCACTGTGGCACAATGGGTATGTTACAAACTGACCAATTTTATCCCCCAAATGAGTCAGAAGCAGACTCTTAGAAGCTTCAGAGTCTTTATTGACCAGCCGGTGGACTGTCCTGCACCACTCTTAGTGGAAGGGAGCAGCCCTGATAGGCTGCTGTTATGGGCTTTTAAGCTCACACTGGCCTGGAAAAGTATCCAATCTGCTAAACTGGGGTTGGTGCGATGTGATGAAGGGAGAACTGTCAGGAATGCTTGTCGTCTCAAGGCTGGGCGCTCTTTCCTATAAGGATTTTGAAAGACCTGTATTTTGGCCTGAGCTATAGGGGAAACTTGATGGTTGAGTGCTAATCTGAGGATAAGGGTAAGGTTGACCAACTGCCAAGCACCTTTAGGGGAAGCAATAACATTGTGAATTATGTTAGTGTGTCTCTGTCTAAACATTAACATCTCTTTGTCTGGCGTGATCTCTGATCAAGCTTGTGACGTTCCTTGGAGGTCAGTTAGTATAAGTGTCGTGTACTTTAAAACTGTCCATTGGGCAAGTGTTTATACAGACTAAGAGCTACATCCTGCTTGGCAGTGAGGAGCTGAAGCAAGCAAGCAAGCAAGCAAGCAAGCAAGCATGGTTTACAGAAGCCAGTTTTGCAGTTCACCAAGTTTAAGTAGACAGTAGATTTCTTTCTGATATTCTGGCTCCTTGTATGTGTCCCTAACTGAACACTTGTTTTCTACTCACCCTGAGACCCTGTAGACTGAGAGGGTCTGACAAAACTGACACCATTTTGAATTTTCAGGCTATCACAGGTAAAGTTGCCACCTGCAGTGCCAGCATTCCATATAGCTGTCAGTTCAAGATCTGTGTGCTCCACTTCCAATCCAGCTCCCTGATAATTGCCTGGGATAGCAGCAAAAGATGGCCCAAATCTTTGCGCCCCTGCACCCACATGGAAGACCTTGAGGAGGCTTCTGGCTTCAGATCAGTCCTACTCTAGGCCTTGTGGCCATTTGAAAGAGTGAACCAATGGCTGGAAGATTGATCTCTCTCTCTCTTTTTCCCTCCCTCTCTGTAACTCTATATTTCAAACAAATCTTTTTTAAGAAGACCTAGATAATTCTAAGCAATGTTCAATGATATTTTTCAAAATTTTGTTCAGTTAGGCAACATTTCGTCTTATTTTTAAATTTCCTTTAAAAATATTTATTTATTTGAAAGGCATAGTGACAGAAAGAGAGAGAGGGAGATAGTGAGAAAAAGACATCCTCCATTCACTGATTCATTGCCTCCACCTCCCGCCCAAATGGCTGTAATGGTTGGAGCTGTGTAGTTCTGAAGCCAGGAGCCAGGAACCAGGAGCTGCTTCTGCATTTCCCTGTGGCTGCAGGGGTTCCAAGACTGGGGCCATCTCTGCTACTCTCCCTGACATGTTATCAGGGAACTAGATCAGAAATGGAACAGCCAAGACTGAACCAGCACCCACATGGAATACTGGCGCTGTAGGCAGTAACTTTACCTGCTATGTCATACCATCAGCTCCATCTAGGTTTTACTTACCTTCTAAAAATTGGCTTAAAGTAACTAAAAATGACTTCTTAAAATAGTGTCTTATTTCTCATCTGTATTATTTTTCCTCTAAAGATATATCTAGTGTTTAAGGGACACCATTGCAGAGTGAGTCCATGGTGTAATAGTGGCAGGTGTTTCGGAAGGGTCCCAGTGTTTGGGTTGCAAAAGCATCTGCCTCGTGAGCACTAGGGGGCCACCTAAGACCGGCAGAGGGATGCCTCATAGCGATTCTGAATACAGACTAGGAGCAGGCACATTGGAATTTCACAGCCACATTCATCCTGCAGAGAAGCTTGGCTCTTAGAAACAAAGTGTAATTCCTGAACTATAGAAAGTATTTAACAAGCTTCAGAGATAAACAAGAAAAAAAGATTTCATGGCACCTGTAGGGGTTACAGAGGTCAAGGCTCTCAAAGAACTAGGCAGGAAGACAAATCTCAAAGGCCATTCATCAAGAGGATATTGTAAATATGTCTGTAGCCAAAATCAGTGCAGTCGAAGTAATTATTAATAGATCAGAAAGGAGAGATAGAACAATAGTAGAGGATTTCGGTGCACCACTTTGAAAAAACTGGTTTGTCATCTTAGAAAAGTCAATAAGAAAACATTGAACTCAGCCATACTTGAAACCAAATGGTAATAATAGACATTCATAAAACTTTGTAACCACAGAAGAACATACATTCTTCTCAAGATCACTTGGTGTATTCTCTAGGATAGCTCTTACAGTTAGTCACAAACCAAGCCTTAACAAATTAAGATTGAAAAAATATCAAGTATATTTTCTGACTGCAAAGATGAAATGATAATAACAGAAGCAAGACTGAAAGTTCACAAATCTCTGGTAATTTAAAAAACCAGTTCTGGGCTGGCAACATGGCTTTGTGGGCTAATCATTTGCCTGTGGTGTCGGCATCCCATATGGGCACCAGTTCATGTCTCTGCTCCAATTCCTATGAGGAGTGAACTTTGTGAAACTTTGCCTTTCAAGTAAAATAAATAAAATCTTTTAGAAAACTACAAATAGACCTATTCCTGAACAATCAACGAGTCAAAGAATGAATGAAAGGCAAACTAAACTTAAAGCTAGCAGAAGATTAGAGAATAGAAGAAGTACAAAGCTAAGAGGTTTTTCAATTTATTCTAAAAATAGACAAATGCTTAACTAGGAAAAAAATAAGCAATACTCCAAGAAAATTAGAAATGAAAGTGGCTTATAATGGATGCTTTAGTAATTAAAAACTTGTAAGGATCTATTATGAACAATTATATGCGATCAAATTTGATAACCTAAAGGAAATGGGTAAATTCCTAGAAATATATAACAAGATTGAATCAGGAAGAAGCAG